CGGGCAGCGCCGGGGTAAGTCGGAGCTGGGGATCCTGTCGCCTCGCTCCTCCAACTCCACCATCATGTCACAGCACCAGTGGGGACTGTCACCCCGCGCCAGGGCTGGAGAGGAGAGGGGCAGGGTGACCGCTGGGTGCTATGGCACCCAGGGTGAGGGCAGGGAAGGAGGGCACCACTCACCGGCACAGCTCTTCTGTCCCCCAGCAGCATCTGGAAGAGCACATGGGGAAATGGGGGGGAAAGTCCCAAAATCTATGGTCAGTCCACCCCCTGCCCACAGGGGAAAGGGGAGGCAGGAGAATCTGGCAGCTGCCAGGTTCCGAAGGAGCAGGCCTATAGTTATGGGCTTCAGAAAGCAGCTGACAGCCATGGGGCTGGGAAGGCAAAGCCACCATGCCTGCAGTGACACACCACCGCTTCCAGCCCCACAACCTGGCTCACAGAGGAGACCCTGGGCTGCTGGACCAGGGTTTTAAAATAGCCCCCAGCAGTAACCTCCCCTCCACTTCACTCACCTCTGCCAGCTCTCCATACCTCCCAGGGGGAAAACTCCCTTCTAGCCTGGCCACGTTTTGGGGTGAAACGCCACCGTGGTCTTGGGTCAACACTTACCCATGGGAAAACCTTCCCTCCCAGCCTCCACAACCCCCCCAGGCTGGGGGTGCCCGCATCCCCCTCACCCACCACTCACCAGGCAGCACCAGGAGCAGCAGGATGGTGCCCAGGAGCAGGTTCATGCCGCTTTGTGGGGTCTCCTGGCCAGCCCCGGCCATCCCACGATGTTCTGCACCCCTCATCCCAGCAGCTCTGCTCCTCCCTGGGCTGCCCCAGGAGGAGGAGTAACTTGCTGCTGCTCTTGAGGCAACAGCTGTGTCCTCATTTCCCTTCTGTGGGTTGGCAAGTGATCTCCTGCCCCACTCGCAGCAACAGCGGTAACCGTCACAGCCACGTCGTTTCCCCCTTGGCTGCTTCCCCCAGCTGATTTGGGGCTTTTTTCCTTCCCCTTCTCAACCCCATCCTGCCAAATCCTTGGTTGATGGCCCTCACCAGCCCAGTGATTTGTCAAGGCAAACGGGGCATCCCACAAGCTGCCGGGGATCAAACATTCCCTTCCTGGGATGGTGCCCCTGCCCTGGCCAGCAGCTGGGTGGAGGGACATGAGCCGCCAGCGGAGCATCATCCGGAAGGGGAACCGGTGGGCTGGGAGATGCGGTGCCGCACTCGCAAGCGGCACAGCCAGGACAGCCGCACTCTGTGGCCCCACAACCACCGAGGGACGTGATTCCCATCCTACAGAGCCTCCCTCTTTGGATTCTCATCCTCCGCCAGCCTCCCGCTTCACTGGGTAGCGATGGTCGCCGGACACTGCTTCCTGAGCTGCAGCACCCTCCTCCATCAGCCTAACCCCTACGGCACCGGAATACCGGTGCTCTGCCGGGAATGCCGTTACTGGTCCCAGCTCAGCAGGATCCTATGGGGTGAAATGCCAGGGATAGGACAGCCCCAGCCAAGGGATGGATCCCATGGGAGAGCCTGCGAAGACACCCAGCAGAGAGACCCCAGTGAGCCACAAAGGAACAACTTTAATGGACACAAGCCTAGTGTGCGGACACGCTCATTGAACTTCTACACCATCCAAAGATGGGCATTCAACGAAATATCAAAAATAGATTATTTCAGCTGCTAGAGGGTGTCACGGGGGCAGAGAGATACCATCCTCACTGGGGAAGGACCCTCTCAGTGACCACCAGCAAGGGCTGAAGATGAGGCCTCTCCCACCCATCATCCCTGGCCTCGGGGCACAGGAGGGGACATCCAGAGGCACTGGGGGCCCTGTTCCTGCCCCTCCTGCTTTCTGCGTCCCTCACTTCCCAGATGTCATGGTTTAGGCTCAGCTGGCAACAACAGACCAGGCGGCCACTCGCTCACGCCTCCATGAAAACACAAGGAAAGGGGGGTGGGTTGAGACAAGGACAGGGAGGCGTCACTCACCGGTTATGGTGATGGGCAAAACAGTCTTGACTTGGGGAAGAAAACTCCATTTAATCAGTTACCAAACAAATTGGGGTAGGATGATGAGAGACAAAGCAAAACAGATCTTAAAAAACTTCCCCCCAACCCACCCCCTTCTCCCTGGGCTACCTCCTCCCCCCAGCAGCGCAGGGAGATGGGAATGGGGGTTGTGGTCAGTTCATCACTCCAGCAGTGTTCCTGCTGCTCCTTCCTCCTCAGGGGAGGATCCTCACACTCTGGCCCTGCTCATGTGGGTCCCTCCCACGGGAGCCAGTCCTCCACAGACTTCTCCAATGTCAGTCCTTTCCATGGGCTGGCATGGTAA